ATGTCCAGAATCATGGTTCTCAATCAGTTGCCTTTCATTCTTTCTTTCTTTCTTTCTCTTTTAAATTTTTTTTAAAAATGTTTATTTATTTTTGAGAGAGAGAGAGAGAGAGACAGAGTGTAAGCGGGGGGAGGGCAGAGAGAGGGGGGAGATGCAGAATCCGAAGCAGGCTCCGGGCTCTGAGCTGGCAGCACAGAGCCCAACTCTGGGCTCGAACTCACAAACCATGAAATCATGACCCGAACCGAGGTCAGACACTTAACGGACCGAGACACCCAGGCGCCCAAATCAGTTGCCTTTCTTTGTAGTTTGATTACAATTATTTGTATATTTGCAAAGGATACATTGAAAGGTTTTGCGTGTCTCTTCACACTTTGTTGCTCTTCTTGACCCTTGGCCACTCCACCGTGTTTGTGACTTGCTTGCATATTGAAGTGTAGCAAGCTTGCATGTCTGTACCTCTGTGGGTATGCCACTGCCGTGGTTCTACCACGATTTATTTCTCCATTCTCTTGTAAATGTACATTTGGATTGTTTTTAGTTGTGCTCCTTAGAACAAGATTCACCTGTCCTCTGGGACACGTGTGCAATGCTCTATCTAGTAGTGAAATTGCAGAGCCCAAGGGGCAAAGCTACACGCTCGACTTCATGGGATGAGGCCAAACTCTCTTCCAAACTGGTTGTACCAAACCCAGTGTAAATGAGTTCCTCCTATTCTACTTTCCTGCAGATGCATTAATTTTTGCGTTAATATTCACCCTTCACTTCTCACCCAGCTGCCAGTGACAGGTAATCGTCAGTTACAGTAACTGTAGCGCTGCTTAGGAGAAAAGTCTCCCCTTCTTCCTCCATCAACGTGTTTTTCATCGTAACGATTTCACCACCCAAAATCACTGTCTATTCATTGTTGTTTCCCCCTCCCTCTTAAAATAGAAGTTCCAGGGGACAGGGATTTATTTCATCTGCCTTTTCAAAGCCGTTCCTCAGGGTTTAGAACTGTGTAAGGCACAGTTCTCGATAAATACTTGCTAAATGAATTAATAAGAACATGAACTAAATCAGAACTATTAAGGTAAAAACACTAAATCACATAGAGCCTTAAAATTACACAAACACTTAGAAAGAGGCCCAGAGTAAAAAAGAAATCCACAGAATTGCCTGGGAAGTGTCCTAGTTCTCTCTCTCTCTCTCTTTCTCTCTCTCTCCTGTTCTCTCTCCCAGATTAAGTTCTCTGTTTAGGCACTTATTTCTGGCCATCATCCCTTCTACCCACTTTCTAGTCCCTTTTCCAACCACAGGCAAGTTTCTTGAGAGGACAGTTACAAATTCTGAATAGCTTCAATCCAATCTCATCTGATCTCAGAACCCGCCACTCAGAACCCCATCTGACCCTTCACCTCTGGACAGCGTGCCCCGGGTCGACTACTCTGTTCTTCTAGACCCCTCTTTGCCTCAATGGCACCACATCCACCTAACTCCAGCTTAACCCATTAGCATTCCTGCACGGGACCCCTCCCCCCTCCCATTTAGGATCCTAGAGACAGTGCTGGGCACAGGATCACACCACTAGTTGGAGGCAGCTCCCAGGAGAAACTGAGGGAGCGAGCGGGGGTTCTGCCCACTTGTGGATGCGGTGAACGGGCACCTCTGCCCCGTCCTGGGGTGCTGCACCGTGTGAATTGCACTCTGTAGTCTGCCCCATCTCTAGACAAGGGACGTCCACCCTCGATCCCCTCACCCCAGGCAGGCCTTTGCTGCAGACCTATAGGTGGCAGCCGGCACACGTCCCCGCCCAGCAGCAGGGAGGATTCCAGCGTGATCCTCCAGAGGACGTAGGCGGGGCGAGCCGCTAGGCTAAGACCCTGGAATCCCTGGGACCCCCAGGGCTTCTGGGCGGGCACAATGGACCTTCTCTTACAGGAAGTTCTGGAGAGCATCTCCAGGACAGCCTTGGGTTTTCTCTTCATTTCCTACTCTCCCTTTCACAAGCAGGTCCCTGCCATTGGCTTCAACTGCTGTCTACACACCAACCGCCCCCAAAGGCTTTCCTCTCATCCACACCTTTCCTCCGAGTTCCAGACCTGACAGCAAACTGCTCCGGACCATCTCCTCCTGATGTTTATTGGGCATCTCAGACTCAACCTTTTATTAAACAAAGCTTTTTTTTTTTTTTTTTTTTTTTAAGTCTGTGTCACAGTGAAAGGGTGCAGTGGACGCTGTCTGTGGCTCTGTCTTAGGGTGAGCACAGTGCCTGGCACGGTAGGGATTGAGTATACATGTGAGGGAGGGATGAATGAATAAAGCAAGATGCTGGGAGGTGGGACAGGACAGGGCCAGGGCTGGGCGAGGGGAGAAGCAGCACCTGTGGAGGAGCAGTGAACAGGCCTCCACGGAGGCTCAGTGGTAAATGCACTGAAGAAATCCCTCAGATTTGAGTGGGTTCTCTGGGTTGGAGATGGATAGCCATAGAGTCTTAGGGAATAGCTGGGTTTGAGATCTGGGACTTGAATGCTGTTGGGATTGAGGATGATACACTGCGGGGTTGGCGGAGGAATCCTTAGGTGTTGGCGCAAGGCATCAGATGGGTTGGTGTGGCTGGGGCTTGGGACTTTTGAGGGACACCGGGTGCTCTGATGGAGAGGTGGTGCTCTGTAGACTCACCCAGGGAAGGCCCTGAAATATGTACAGGAAGCGTGTGGCAGTCACAGGTGAAGAGAGTCCTCATTAGGGAAGCAGGGATGTGGCCACACAACTGCTGATGGAATCGCTCCAGTGAGTGAAAAAAAAACTGGGTTTGAGGGCTGGGGGTAAGACTGGGGGTCACTGAGGATAGATTACGGGTCTGGAGGAGGAAGTGTTAGGCCCTGGTGCAGGGGAAGGTGAGGCTGGAGCTTGGAAGTGGTGTAGCAACTATTCTTTCTCTGTTGGACCCTGACAAGTACAACTCCCTGAGTTGATCTACAGGTTCAACACATGCTTGTCAAAACTCCAGCTGGTCTCTTTACAGTAGTTGACAAGCTGATCCTAAAATTCATGCAGAAATTCAAGGGACCCAGAATAACCAGAACAATCTTGGGAATGAACAGCAAAGTTGGAGGAGTCACGTTTCGTGATTGCAAAACTTTCTATAAAACTACAGTAATGGAAACAGTATGGTACCAACATTAAGGGTGGATACATAAATCAATGGAATAGAGTTAAGGGCCCAGGGAGAAAAATTGATATTTATGGTGAATTGCTTTTTGAGAAAGATGCCAAAACACTTCAATGGGGAAAGGATAGTCTTTTCAGCAAATGGTGCTGGAATAACGGGATAGCCATGAGCAAAATAATAAACTTGGACCCCTATCTCACATCATATATAAGAATTAGTTCAAAATGGATCAAAGACTTGAATGTAAGCTCTCAACTATAAAACTTTTCGAAGAAAACATAGGAGTAAATCTTTGTGACCCTGGGTTAGGCAATGATTCTTATTTTTAAGTTTATTTGAGAGAGAGTGTGAATAAGGGAGGCACCGAGAAAGAGAATGCCAAACAGGCTCTGCACTGACAGTGCAGAGCTGGACCCAGAGCTCGAACCCACCAACTATGAGATCATGACTTGAGCTGAAATCAAGACTTGGACGCTTAACTGACTGAGCCACCTGGGTGCCCCAGCAATGATTACTTAGATATGATGCCCAAAGCACAAGTGACTAAAGAAAAAAAGAAATTGGACTTCATCAAAATTTAAAGTTTTGTGCTCCAAAGGACACCACAAAGTGAAAATACAGCTCACAGAATGGAAGTAAATATTTGCAAATTTTATATCTGATAAAAGACTTTTTTTTTCTGATAGAAAGAACTTTTATCTAGGATACATAAAGGACTCTTACAACTCAACAAAAAGACCCAAAAAATGACTAAAATATGGGCAAAGCATTTGAATAAGCTTTTCTCCAAAGATGATATACAAATGGCCAATGACACATGAAAAGATGCTCAACACCATTAGTCATTAGGGAAATACAAATCAAAGCTTGAACTTGAGACACTGATTGACTAGGACGAATGAGATGCCTTCCCACTAGGGGGTCTGTCAAGAAGACAGGTGATAACGAGTGTTAGGATGGGGAACAAATGGAGTCTTATCATATTGCTGGTGAGAATCTAAAGTGATGAAGCAGCTTCCAAGACAGTTTGAGGACTCCTCAAAAGGCTGAACACGTTGACCCAGAAATTGCCCTCCCAGGCATATGATTCTCAAGTGATGAAAACCTATATCCACGCAAAAACTTAGCATAAACGTTCATGGCAGTTTTATTCATAATAGACACAAAGTGGAAATAATCCAAATTCCTATCTGCTGAGGAATGGATAAATACCATGTGGTGGATACGTACAATAGAATATTTTTCAGCAATAGAGGAATGCGTTTTTGAGACATGATTTATTGCAGAGGAACTTTGAAAGCATACTAAGTGAAAGAAGCTGGTTACAAAAAAAAAAAAACCATGAATTGTATCATTCCATTTATATGAAATGTCTGAATTAGCAAATCTCTAGAAACAAAATAGATTAGTAGTTGTGTAGGACTGGGTGGTGGTGGTGGTGAACAGAGGACAGCTAAGGAGTACAGGCTTTCTCTTTGGGGTGATAAAATGTTCTAAGATTATATTGTGGTGATGGATCCATGACTCTGAGGACACTAAAAACCAGTGTACATTTTAAATGGGTGCATTGTAGGTTATGTGAATTAATAACACATCTGTTAAAAATCAAAAAAGAAAAATAATAATGAGGTAACTCAAAGAGCCTTTGGTCAGCCCCTGGGCATTCCGGCCCAGCCTCCCCTCTCTTCTGGCTACTCCGATGTCTCAAGCCATCCTGACTCCCAAGGCCTGTCCCTCTGACAAGCAGCTGGTGACCAGTTGGCCGCTGGGCCTACGCTGCTCTGCTCGGCCAATCAGCATCACCCGGCAGTTGGTTCCCTGGAGACAGAATCAGTTAAGCTGACAAAGCCTCTGCCAGGCTCCTGGGGGAGTCAGGACTCTGCTGGTCTAGGCTCAGGCAGGAGGGCAGTTACTGGAATGTTCGGGGCCAGGGAGGTGGCCAGCAGTCAGCAGGGGCAGGCCACGAGGGACAGAGTGTATACCGCCTGCCCTGGGCCCTGAAGACGTGCAGACACCTGCTGTGCGTGGAGGATAGAGGAGCCGGTGAGGATGGGAGGGTCACCCCCTGGTAAGAAGTGACAGCACGCAGCAGGGCTGGGCAGCATGAGACCCCTCCGGGGTCAGGCCCCCCTCCAGGGGCTGGACTCCCACCTGCGGCCTGAGGTCAGGCCTCCTTGGAGCAGACTGAGGACAGGCTGGGACTGGGGAGGATGTGGGGGCAGGAGCTCTGGCACAGGGATTAGGGCAGGGTCCTGGGCTCTGACCCATTGGGGTCAACGGGGCCGTCTGTCCTGTGCGGAGTGAGAATAGCACCCACCATGGCTGATGTGGGAGATGACGGTCTGAACCCTGATATTCCCTCTTCTTTTGACGGGTACAGGTGAGGGTGCCCTGGGAGCCGTGGCCTGGGTGGGGAGGGGCCCTGTGCTGAGCTCACATTCAGCCTTACGTGCCTCGCTGTGCTGTCTGCCAAAATGTGCCTTGGAGGGTGGGCCGAGGGGCCTTAGGACACCGGGGCCACATCCCACTTGTGACCTGACCACAAAGCCACCCTGTGCAGGTGACAGTGCACCTCTCCCGGCCTCCGGTTCCTTATGTGCCAGTGCCAGGAGCGGCACCTACGTCTGGGAGCCCATGCATTCAGGAGCCTCTCTGAGCAGCTGGGCCTCCTCTTCCTGTGGGTGCTGCCCCTGGGGAGTGGCCCCCCTGCCGGTCCCCTGGGGGCCCCAGAGCTGCGTGTGGTGCCCAGGGGGACGCACCTCTCCCCCGACGGCCCCAGTCACCGTCCCCTCCAGGTGTCTGGTGAGGTGAGTGTAGCTCAGACAGGTCCCTGGGGCTTCCTCCTCGTTCTTCTCCGGGAGGCCAGCCAGACGCCTGCTCTGTTTGGTCTTGAAGTTAGCAGAGGAAGACTTGTGATCTAGAGAACACCCTCGCTTTGATGGGTTCTTCCACGTGAAAGCAGACAGGACACAGTTGGGGAATTTGGTGGAGAGACGCCTCCCTCCAGCTCTGGGAACTACAATGACCAGAGAGGCCCAGTTTGGGAATCTCTGGGCTAAGAATGGGGTCTGGGAGTGCGGGGAGGCTGGTGGATCTGGGAAGGTGATGGACGTGAGGACTCAGGCTGACGTCTGCATTCTAGGTGCCTCAGTCGGGCCCGGGCCCCACGTGCCACACTGATCCGAGGTAAAGACTTGACCTGAATGAGCTCTCCCTGCTCTTGAAGTGGCTCCAAAGGTCCACACAGAGGGGAAGGGTTTGTGGTGTTGGAAAATCCACTCTGGGCCAGACTGCTGGGTTCCAACACCAGCTCCCTCCTGTATGCACCCTGTGGTCCTGACCATTTACTCCGCTTCTCTGCTTCCACACCCTCATCTGTGAAGCAGGTGTGATGATAGCTTCTCTGCATGGGAATAAGTCAAGGATGCGGTTCGTCAATATCATGGGCTTAGAGCACTGCCAGGTGCCCAGGAAGCGCCCCCCCCACCTCAGCAGGTGACATCAAGGAATTCGGCCAGCACACGCCATCCTGTTAGCAGGACAGACACCTGCTGATCAGTGGTGACCTGGGAGTCATCCCGGCCATGGAGATACTGGGCTCTGTCCCCTGTGCAGGGAGGTCTCTTTGATGTCTTTGGGCAGAGTGGAGCGTCCAAGGGGCACAGCACAACCAGGCTGGCCGTGGGCCCTGTTAGCCAGTGGGCAGGGTAGGCACAGTGCCCACGGCCACAGACCTATGGGTTGCACAAAGATAGGTTCTTGGTCTGATTATTAGAAGAATCCCCAGGGCGTTCAGCTCCAGGGGAAGTTTTGCTAAGCATGTTCACACAAACACAGAAGTACGCAGACACACAGGAGACAGACACACTGAGACACACCCACATTCAGACACAAACTGCCCTCCTCCCTGCAGCCCAGAGGAGGATGAGGCCATTGGAGTGGCTGACACGCTGAACCATCCCGGGACGAAGACAGGGACTAGTGCCCGCCCCCAAGACCCCTCAGCTCAGCACCACTGCAGGGGCCATGGCCACACCAGACCCAGACACACCCACCACCTGCAGTGGGGCAGAGGCTCAGAAGAAGTGACAGGACTGGAGGACGTGGTCCCCAGGCTCCACACACTCCCAGGGGTCTGCAGGTTCCCAGCACCTCCCTCCAGGCTCCTGCGGCCCCACCCCCTCCTCTGAAGGTTTGCACGGGACGGGGAGGCCTGAAATGATACTTCCATTAACCAGTTGGTGGTGATATTTTATATATTCATATGCTTGAAAAAACAAATTCTGAGAAACAGGGAAGGAACCGTACAGAGAACACTCAGCAGGTTGTTCTCTGAACTGAGCAGCTGTGCCTTGCTGTTTCTGTTCCAGCTGCTGCTGGACTGCGCTGTAGGCATCAAGGGGTCAGACTCCCAGAAGGACTGTCAGGTGTACAAATCCCAGAGGCTGGACCCATGTGACTCCTGCCTGAGGCGGTGGCATTGGCCACCCTGCCAGGGGACAGGAGGAAGCCCAGGGCTGGCCATGAGATCTGCTCTCTCTCCCACCTGCCCTGTCCATCTGGGCCTCCCATTCTGATCAGGACATGAGGAGCACAGGCAAGACCCAGAGAATCAACAGTCAGTATGGATCATAATGCCCCCGGGCCTTTCACTCTCTCCTGCCAATTCACAGGTGTTCAACTGGTTTGGATGCAGATGGAATGGAAGGAGGAGGCCCCATGGGTGACCTCCGCCCCTCCTGAGGTTCCAGGCTCTGTTTTCCACACTGAGGGAGGCCCTGAGTGCACGATGCCTCCTCCCTGTCCCACCCAGGGCGGGACAGGGCTCTGCTGATCCTGGGGAGACTCTGTGTGCCTTGTGGCTTCCCCTGGGACCTTGTGCCCAGCAGGGCTCCCCACTCTGCTTCCATCCTGCTCTTAGCCCCAACGCCTGCCAGGAGAGAGCCTGGACTCCAGAAAGAAACATGGAACTTGCACCCGGCGCCTGAAGGTCCTGCTGGGTCATTTCTTGGATTCTCAGTGCCTCAGCCTTGTCCTTCTCCTCCTGTGTGAGGCCCAGGGAGAGAGTGGGAGCAGACAGCTGGGAGGGAGAGAGTCCAAGGAACCAGGATGTACCAGATCATGCCCTTCAGATGCCTGGGTTCAAAGGTGAGCTGGGCCACCTGCTGGCCATGTGTTTTGGGCAGGTGTAAGAACCTCTCCGTGCCGTTGTCATTTTCCTAATGTGGTGATAATAAGAGAACCGACTGCAGTGGCATCTGTGCAGAGACCCAGGGCAGCATCGGGGGCCTCTGGGCGAGGGTCCCTCCTCATCACGGTTCATTGCCAGGAGAGGGTGGAGCACCATGACCTCTCAGAGGTTGGCCATCGGTGTATACCTCATGCCTCAGTCGGGAGGGTCAAATGAGATAAAGGTCAGAGCTTCAATAGCCACCCAGCCAGCCATGTTTAACTCCCTCTGGACCTCTCACATCAGAGTCCTGTTGAGATGGCCAGTGGGTCCATTTCCCAACTAAGACTAATCTCAGGTGAGGTTATTGGTGCTCTTTTTGGTGTTGCTTTCCATTACAGAAAACAGAAGTATGGGAATGTGTTTCATGTAGCTCACCGGACGCGTGGCTCGAACTCATGAACTGTGAAATCATGACCAGGGCAAAGTCAGATGATCAACTGACTGAGCCAGCCAGGCGCCCTGGCTCCTTTAATTTCTGGGTCTTGTGTATGTGCAAGGATGACAGGGAGCTGGCACTTTCAGCTATTCTTTCATGTCTATGCACATAATAGACTGGCTGAACCTGGAGGTGGCTTTTAGTGTCTTTACTGGCCAAACACTCATGTCCTGCCCTTTTTGTGTGCATGCTTGACAAAGGAAAGGCCCTGTAACTACCCCACTCTACTGAGAAGCAAAACTGCAAACCTGTAGCCAAACTTAGCATCACTCAGTGCATTGTATAGATTAATGCCACAGCCCAAGACTTGAACATGTACTTCACCAGTTTGGCCTGTGCAGGACTTGGATGAACTGTACAAAGTGACTGGTTATCACTAAGTTAATCAGTTAAGGACCTGTGATGGCAGGCTCAGATAAAAACTTTACTGGAGCAAATGCATATGGCCCCTGGGACCTGATACACAGCTACTGACCAGGCTAATATCTTTTACTTCATATCGACTTGCAAGGTCCACCAGCAAGTTTGGTTTTACCTAGCAGTGCTAACAGTAAACCTTCACAGAATTGCTACAGGGCTTGGCCTATTCTGTTCTCTGCCATGAAAGAGTCCACAGAGATACTGATTGCTTGACACTTCACAAAACGTAACACTGGTCTGCTATATTGACATGATGCTGGTTGGATTTGATGAGCGGGAAGTAGCAAGTATTTTACATGCCTTTAGTAGGACGTGTGAACCACATTGAGGAAGTGGAAGACACAGATCATGAAAATTTAGGAGAGTGATGTTTCTGATGGTTCAGTAGTCTATTGTAGGCAGAGATAGCCTCGGAAGAAAGACACTAGTCTCTGCATCTTGCACCATTTACCGAGAACAAAAGGAACAGCCCTTGGTGGGCCTTTTTGGATTGACGCAACACATATCACACATGTAGTTTTTTGACCCATCTCTAGAGACATTGACAAGCCTGCCAGTGTCAAGTAGGATCAGAGAATGAGAAGGCTCTGCTGAAAGCAACTCCTGGCTTGCTATGGGAACTTGAGATAATGAACACCTGACTCTAGCACATCATGTAATCCTGTGGCCTAAGCTCCTCACCATGAACACACCTACCCGTAAGGGTGGGCAAGTGCAGAAGCATTTATCATCAAATGGGAATGGTATAGAAAAGATCAAGTTTGAGGAAGTTGGGAAAACGAGTAGATTGAATTGAGCAGGTGCCTCAGACTCCTTTGAAATGAACCCCTGCTGCGTTTGTTCTGTCTTTTAATCCATGCCTCTGGCCTCATGATGTGTTCCTTATGACCACCCGACTGAGAAAAACATTTGGGTCTGATTTATAACTGGGTTTGCACAATAAGCTGTGACACAAAAGTAGTCAGCTACAGCACTGTGGGGTGACCCTGAAAGACAATGGATTTGACTTCCTTGCCAGAACACCATCTGCAGATTTGTAGGATGCCTCTCCACCGTCATGGCATTGGCCCATTGTTATGTCTGATCAAGGAGCTCATTTCACAATGACGCTCAGCAGTAAGTTCATGCTCATGGAACTAACTTTTTGCCACATGCTTCATCACCCAGAAGTGGGTAGCCTAACTGGAAGGTAGAGTGGCTTAGGTTTTATTGCAGCATCAGTTGGGAGATGACGCCTATGAGGACGGGCTCTGTTTTACCTGATGCAGTATATGCTTTGAATCAGAGACCATTATATGGTATTGTCTCCCCATAGCCAGGACACTGGGCTGTAAAAGAGAAGAATTGGGCATGGCTCCTTTTGACACCTAGCAACCCACCTGCAGAATGTTTGCACCTTGTCCCAGCAACTTAATTCTGTTCATTTAGATGGTTAATCTCCAAGAGGTTAATATCAAGGGACATAGAAATTATTCCACTGGGGGCACCTCCGTGGCTCAGTCAGTTGAGTGTCCATCTGATTCTTGATCATAGCTCAAGTCATGATCTCATGGCTTATGGGATGGAATCCCACATCGGGCTCTGCGCTGACAGTGTGGAGCCTGCTTGGGATCTTCTCTCTCCCTCTCTGCCCCTCCAAGTGCATAAACTCTCTCAAAATATTCTCAAAATTCCATTGAATTCTACCTGAATAGACATTATTCCACTGAACCAACAGAATCAACAGACAAAGATTACTTATCCTGGTTCCAGGGATTTTGTTTGGTGGAAATAGAGATGTTGCACTGTTTATGTGAGTTCTAATATGTTTTGAAGTTTGCATATGGAAATTCAGTAGTCTAAAGGGTGGTGGCTGTCCTTTTCCTTATTCCCTGTAGGTGAATGACCTGCCGAATGACGGGAGCAGAAGTCGGACGCCTAACCAATTGAGCCACCCAGGCGCCCCTGGGGAGGTCAGAAAGGGGAGCGAGAGCAGAAAAGTTGAGTACAGGAAGACTTGTCAATTACAAACCCCAAGAGAATTACCATCAACAAGAATGATCAGTTACAGGCCCCAGCAGGAAAAGATGTACTTGAAAGCTGTATAAGAAACCAAATGCCCCGCAACTCAGCCAACGAGAAACCAGCATCACCCTGAACTCCTCCAATGGACTTTCATTCAAAACAACTCTCTCCTTTGTTGAACTTGCCTGTGGTCTTGCCATAGCTTACAGGTCCTGGATTGCAATTCTCTGCTATCCACAAATAAACCTATTTTTGCTAGGGAAATTAATTTTAAAGAGAGGACATACCTGTGTAAAAAGAACCAGAGAACTACAAAAGGCTAGCAGGTCTCATCCCCAGAGGGTGGGAGTGCCCCAGACTTCAATTCAGGCAGAGCCTTTGGGGAGTCTTCGAAACAAGAGCAACAAAGTAAGGGGGAGAGTAGACACAAAGGCTCCTTCAGTGCAAATGCCCCCCCCCACCCGCCCCGGGGTGGGGGTATGTGGAGACCTGCAGCCACACAGTCAATTATGTACCCATAGGAGGTGGTCAGCCACAGGGTTTCAAGTGCACAGATTGGGGACCGCAGAAGGAAACATGGCTGAGAGAGCCCAGAGGTTCCTTATGTCCCAAAGTTAGGTCCAGGTCCAGCCGAGGGAACATCCACTAGGGTTTTAGGAAGTTTTAGTTCTAGGAAGCACTAGAAGACTTTCTTGCTGATGGGATCCTCTTAAAAGAGCAGGCAGGTGGGGCCTGAGCCCCAGGGGCTCCAGGCATTTATAATAGGAAAGAAGCTCTTTTAGTATGAGACAGCATGAGTGGGGAGGGGCAGAGAGAGAGCATCCCAAGCAGGCTCCATGCGGTCAGTGCAGAGCCCGATGTGGGGCTTGAACTCACTAACCATGAGATTGTGAACTGAGCCGAAACCAAGAGTTGGACACTTAACCTACTGAGCCACCCAGGCGCCCCTAAAACTATAACTTGTGATGTTACCTCCTTTACTAATTAATCAACACACCTAATCAGTGTTTTCTGAGTTAACCTTTAACATTAGAGAGTTACCTTAGCCCCAGTCAACAAAACTCCAAAATGACCTTTGACTTAATGTCACAAAATCTTCCCACCTTGCTGCAAAACTTTGGATAATTCTACTAGTTACATAATCCACAGCAATTCTTGCAACATCTGCTCCAGGACACAATTGCCAGATTGTTCACAATAGTATTATCTTCATTAGTAAAATCTGCAAACCACTCAAATGTTTATTAGGAGAACAATGGAAAAATAGTGTGGACAATAAAATGATCCAGCAATAAAAACAAACTACAGCTACATATTCCAACATGGGATAATTCTACAACATAATTCTGACGTTTGACTTTGGGCTAAACAATAGGTCTTGCTTTGGCCACGGATTAGCAGACGTGATGCAAACTAAAATCCAAAATGAGCTTGCATGCTTGGTCTTGTTCCCTTGCGCTTCTTTTGCACGCCTCAAGGAGCTCTAGGTTCAAACAGCTCAGAGACATGTGGATCAGATGTGGACACAGCCTGGATCCTGCACCCAAGCCCAGCTGAGTGCCACTGACCCCAGCACATACCTGCGAAATGTCTACTGTGGCATCCCACTGAGATTTGGGATTGGTGAGCAATAGCTACAAAAGACAGACAAAAATCATTTTTATATAATGTCCAGGACATGCAAATGCAGTTAATGAATTCTGCAAATATGCCAAAGACGTAGAATTATAAAGAAAAGCACGGGACTAGTAAAATTCAGGTAGTGGTTACCTTGGATGTGAGGGAGGGAGATAATGTTTGGGGGCACACAAAGGACCTCAATATAAAGGTGGTTTATTTTAATTTACATCCAAGTTAGAATAGTACAATTATTTCAGGAGTAGATTCCTTAATGTCCCTTACCCATTTAGCCCATCCCCCCTCCCACAACCCCTCCAGTAACCTTCTGTTTGCTCTCTATATTTAAGAGTCTTGGGGTGCCTGGGTGGCTCAGCTGGTTAAGCATCTGACTTCGGCTCACGTCACGATCTCACAGTTCATGGATTCAAGCCCCGCAACAGGCTCTGTGCTGACAACTCAGAGCCTGGAGCCTGTTTTGGATTCTGTGTTTCCCTCTCTCTCTGCCCCTCCCCCACTCATGCTCTGTCTCTGTCTCAAAAATAAACTATAAAAAAAAATTTTTTTAAGTCTGTTTTGTCCCCTTCCCTGTTTTTTTATATCTTAAAGTCCTCATATGAGTGAAGTTATATATTTGTCTTTCTCTGATTAATTTCACTTAGCATAATACCCTCTAGTTCCACCCACATAGTTGCAAATGGCAAGATTTTTTCTTTTTGATTGCCAAGCATTATATATATGTGTATATATGTAAATATAAATATATATATATTTACATATATATAATAGTGATATATATATATCACATCTTTATCCCTTCATCCATTGGTGGACATTTGGGCTCTTTCCATACTTTGGCTATTGTTGATAGTGCTGCTATAAACATTGGGGTGCTTGTGCCCCTTTGAAACAGCACACCTGTATCCCTTGGATGAATATGTAGTACAATTGCTGGATCAAAGGGTAGTTCTTTTTTTTTTTTTTTCAAATAGTTTATTGTCAAATTAGTTTCTACATAACACTCAGTGCTCATCCCCAAAGTGCCCTCCTTCATGCCCATCCCCCCCTCCCCCCCACATCCATCAGTCCTCAGTTTTTGTCAGCATTCAAGAGTCTCTCATGGTTTGCCTCTCTCCCTTTCCCCCACCATTTCCGCCCTTCTTCTCCCCCTTGGTCCTCTGTCAAGTTCCTCCTAATCCTCCTATACGTGCAAACATATGGTATTTGTCCTTCTCTGCCTGACTTATTTCGCTCAGCATAACACCCTCAAGGTCCATCCATGTTGCTACACATGGCCAGATTTCATTGTTTCTCATTGCCATGTAGTATTCCATGGTATAGATAAACCACATCTTCTTGATCCATTCATCTGTTGATGGACACTTAGGCTCTTTCCATGTTTTAGCTATTGTGGAGAGTGCTGCTATGAACATTGGGGTACATGTGCTCCTATGCCTCAGCATTTCTGTATCCCTTGGGTAAATTCCTAGCAGTGCTATTGCTGGGTCATAAGGGAGTTCTATTGTTAGTTTCCTGAGGAACCTCCACACTGTTTTCCAGAGGGGCTGTACCAGTTTACATTCCCACCAACAGTGTAGGAGGGTGCCCGTTTCTCCACATCCTCGCCAGCATCTAGAGTTCTCTGATTTGCTCATTTTAGCCACTCTGACTGGCGTGAGGTGGTATCTCAGTGTGGTTTTGATTTGTATTTCCCTGATGAGGAGGGATGCTGAGCATCGTTTCATGTGTCTGTTGGCCATCTGGATGTCCTCTTTGGAGAAGTGTCTGTTCATGTCTTCTGCCCATTTCTTCACTGGGTTGTTTGTTTTTCGGGCGTGTAGTTTGGTGAGTTCCTTATAGATTCTGGATATTAACCCTTTATCTGATATGTCATTTGCAACTATCTTTTCCCATTCCGTTGGTTGCCTATTAATTTTCTGGGTTGTTTCCTTGGCTGTGCAGAAGCTTTTAATCTTGATGAGGTCCCAACAGTTTATTTTTGCTCTTGATTCCCTTGCTTTTGGGGATGTGTCAAGTAAGAAGTTGCTGCGGTGGAGGTCAAGGAGGTTGTTTCCTGCTTTCTCCTCTAGGGTGTTGATAGTTTCCTGTCTCACGTTCAGGTCCTTTATCCATTTTGAGTTGATTTTTGTGCATGGTGTGAGAAAATGATCTAGTTTCATTCTTCTGCATGTTGCTGTCCAGTTCTCCCAACACCATCTGTTAAAAAGGCTGTCTTTTTTCCATTGGATATTCTTTCCTGCTTTGTCAAAGATCAGTTGGCTGTATACTTTTGGGTCCACTTCTGAGTTCTCAATTCTGTTCCATTGGTCTATGTGTCTGTTTTTGTGCCAATACCATACTGTCTTGAGGATGACAGCTTTGTAGTAGAGGCTGAAGTCTGGGATGGTGATACCTCCCGTTTTGGTTTTATTTTTCAGTATTACTTTGGCTATTCGGGGTCTTTTGTGGTTCCATACAAATTTTTGGATAGTTTGTTCTAGTTTTGAGAAGTATGCTGGTGCAATTTTGATTGGAATTGCATTGAATGTGTAGAGTGCTTTAGGTAGTAATGACATCTTAACTATATTTATTCTTCCTATCCATGAGCATGGAATGTTTTTCCATTTCTTTGTGTCTTCTTCAATTTCCTTCATAAGTTTTCTATAGTTTTCATCATACAGATCTCTTGTATCCTTGGTTAGGTTTATTCCGAGGTATTTTATGGTTTTTTGTGCAATTGTGAATGGGATCAGTTTCTTGATTTCTCTTTCTGTTGCTTCATTATTGGTGTATAAAAATGCAACCGATTTCTGTACGTTGATTTTGTACCCTGCAACTTGGCTGAATTCTTGGATCAGTTCTAGTAGGCTTCTGGTGGAGTCTGTCGGGTTTTCTATGTAGAGTATCATGTCATCTGCGAAGAGTGAAAGTTTGACTTCCTCTTTGCCAATTCTGATGCCTTTGATTTCCTTTTGTTGTCTGATGGCTGATGCTAGGACTTCCAGCACTATGTTAAACAACAGTGGTGAGAGTGGACATCCCTGTCGTGTTCCTGATCTCAGGGGGAAAGCTCTCAGTTTTTCCCCGTTGAGGATGATGTTAGCTGAAGGCTTCTCATAGATGGCTTTGATGATGTTTAAGTAGGTTCCTTCTATCCCAACTTTCTCGAGAGTCTTTATTAAGAAGGGATGCTGTATTTTGTCAAATGCTTTTTCTGCATCTATTGACAGGATCATATGGTTTTTATCTTTTCTTTTATTGATATGATGGATCACAATCAAAGGGT